CTGGATTATGGATGTTTTCTGCTATCGTAATAGGCCGTTAGTCGTTAAAAGTGAACTTCGTATTGTGTAACCACCTTGTGGCCAACAGATTTACTGCTCCTTGACCTATCGACAATTAAGAGATGATGTCATACCACCTCCTGGTGCTAACCACGTGTGAAGAAACACATATTTATATTCCTTCGCATGTGGTTAGCAGATTTCCTTTACATGAACTATTCTTTACTGCTGCGTGTTCTTTAAATTTCCTTTTTTTATATGTCTTTTTCATGATTTAAAATCTTAATCTGGTTTTTATCTAGTGTGCAACCTCTGTTCTGCGTAATGGTCCAATGGTGATTGTTTATGTTTAAGACGTATAGCGGCATCGTCTTCTTTTAATCTTTTACCTAGTCGACCCAAATGCATCTACTAATGTATGAAATAAACCAAAATAAACATAATTAAATCGTAGTTTTGGATAGTTGAATTATCGGTAGCGTTCCTATACACCTGCAGACGCAGGATTACGGAATTTTCAAATTGGAATATAGCTGGTATCCCAACAAGAAGGGAATTATTCAAATTAAATGAGCAAAATATAATTTTAAAAACGTGGAATTTTATAGTAAAACAATCTCATTAGAATGAAGTCCGCAAGCACATTTTAAAAATACGTTTTTAATATCACCGGAAAAAACCTCATGAAATAGAATTACAAAAAGCAATTTGTACATTAAAATACTACGCATATTCGTGTTAAATAATGTTTCGTTTACTCAGTAAAATATGAGGGATTTGCCGAAATTTATCTCATTGTAAATAAGATGGCGTATTCATAGATGAAAAAAATTCATAATTTACTCAATTATTAATCGAGGATTCGAATCGTTTTGTCGTTTCTACCAACATTAATTGTAATTGATAAATTAAAAAACTAAAAAATGTAAATTTTATTACAGAAAAATAAACTATAAGCATCAGTTATTTTTGACCATACGCCCAGGAACACTAACGTGGTCTTTTTTCGTATCCGTTATGAGTTCGGACAGGTCCCAACGGAAGAGACCGGATGGTGAGGGACAAGGCCGCTCACGACTTCCTCGTCCAACAATCACAGTCGTCTTACGATAATCATACAATTCAAAATATTTACGTAATCACTGTATTGGCCGAGAATCACTGAAATCGAATCGTCAGTTCCTCCGAATACTAATCTAATGTTTTAGCCTCCTCGGCCAATACAATGATTAAGCAAATATTTTGAATTGTATGATTATCGTAGGACGATTGTTTTAATTCGACATTTATTATATTTTGTAGGACAGGCGAGATTTAAACTCTTTAGCTTGAAAATTTAATATATTTCCGCTCTTCGCTGTCAAAACATTACTTGGCATTAGATTCGACATTTTGAATGCAGTTTTGAGACTAAAGTTTCTTGTTTCCAACTTACAGGCCAAGAAAATATCACAACATGATGAAGACGTTCCCACAAAACCCTAGATGTGTGCGGCAAAGTATTAACGTGCTGGAGAATGGTGCTACCACTAAAGGGAACATATGAAGATGAGGGATTTCACGAACATACTCCTGAGCTATCAATATCCCTCTCACAACTACTACAGGTATGACTGTCATGCGAAATGCTATTCTCTACCGGTGCCCTTCAATAATACATTCGAAATTGAAGCGCTTATCCGTGTTCGTCCACACAGCGTTAGAATGTGGATTTCCGTTCCATTAATTAATTAACAAACAGACCGGAGTTTGTCGCTAAAGAGGAAATGATTCTATTCCTTAGCAATTTATGATTCTGTCACGGTCTCACTATGATCAAAGCTGAGTTGGATTGCTAATGCTGGACGCAAAACAGTCGTTGTACATGAAAATTTGTTTTTGATAGTTACATGTCTATGATACTTCGGGACAGAGTTCAATAACAAGACTTCCACCTGCTCTGATGGTAGATAAAAATACCGTTGCAGCTATTCGTGCTTGTTTTACGATCAGAAGTTCATTTCTCCTAGTGGCGTGTCTGCGGCGTTCAGAGAATAGTCGTAATGTCAATGTTGCCTCTGTATTCAATGCCCCCAACATCTCATCACAGTCACGTCAGAACGGTCCAGATGGATAGCAATTCTGTGAGAATTGAATATAATTGTCCAACATTGATGTTCCGTTTGAAAAACACGACAACTTGTTGCTGTGAACGTCGACTTATGAGTAAGAAGTGACAATATCTGACATCAGGTGACTGGTTGCTAAAGGAAAATGTTGCCTAATACTCGCTCTCTCTAAAACATTATCGGGAAACAGATTTATCCGTCAACCACCATTGACCTGTAAAATCTTGAAGTATTCGCCCGCTTTGCTGTGCATAATGTCTTTAACTGCATCGTAAAGACATACTTGCGTTCAAAAATCCCAAGCAATAGATACACAAAAATTCTGAACAATGTGAGTCTGCGAGTCTTTTTTATAAGATAGTATGATAGCGATTTTAAGGCAATCATTACTTGGCATAAAATTGAAACACAATACGTAATCATTTACAATATCATAGAAGCGGTAGCGTCCTGTAGTAAAGCTCCGCCGTACGTTTAATGTTAAAATGCCAACTTTAATCTATATTTTTATGACCATTTTAGATTTGGATAAAATGTAAAATATTTAGTGTTCACGATGATTACCAAGAACGTCTGAAATTCGAATAAGTTTGTTGGATTGTTCTAAACTTACGCGATCAACATTTTGTCATCTAGATTTACGAGAGAGAATACAGTAGAGCGTCGTTTATCCGAAAGTCGGTTATCCGAAAGAATTCCAGTCGGCAAATTTAAATTTTCGCTAGTGCTGTGGCGCTTCAATCTTTGGCTATGTCTTGGGCTTCTCAAATATTTTACGTTTTTGATACTAAATTAACTTCTGAAGTATAATTTTTTGTTTTTATATTTTTCAATATATTTAACGATACAATAGTCTTCCTTAGGCTTAACATCGACGAAAATTCAACGCGAAGCGACACGCAACGAAGAAAAATTTCAACACGGGATAGATTAATATATTTTTTTCGTAGATAATCGGTTATCCGAAAAACAAGTTATCCGAATGACCCCAGTCCCCAATTCATTCGGATAAACGACGCTCTACTGTAGTAACACCGAGCTACCGAACAATCTAGGAGTTTGCATATGTTTAATAGCTTGTTCGCGAGATAGATTGACAATAAGATTCAACATATAAATAAAGTGTATATTACACAGATCACAACTTTAGAAAGTTTTGGAAGAAGTTGGAGATAATGGATGGCCGCCATCGGTTAGACGAAACCTGGCCGTCTTTCTCCATCCATTTCCATCTCTGCAGACTGTCTTTATCAGAAGGCGGTAAACGTGAATTAGTTAAGTCCACGACCACGTTTTAAACTAAAACAACATTTATTTACAACAATCTTACGAGCACACTTGAGAGAGAGCTACACGTGCTCATGGCAGCGATCACTCGACAAGAAAAAGCAACAATATCCAGAATCCCATCCGGGAAAAACCCTTGTCCCCGTTTTTCAATCCGGGATTCACGGAAAACTCCTAGAGGAGTGGCGCCATCTCACCAGTCCGTGATTTGTCGCCGCAAAGTAATGCCACCATGCAGTGCCGGCCCGAGGCAAGTTTCAGGATGGAGCGAGATCCTATTATGGCGCCCTGTTGGTTGCCTCTAATTTATACCCTTTAATTTTCTTTACCACTGAGGCGCCCCCTAGGACTTGGCGCCTGGAGCGGCTGCTCCGTTCGCCCTATGGTAGAGCCGGCTCTGCCACCATGATAATAAATCAGGAAAACAAGCATCATTATAGAAAAAAAGCTTTGATTTTTACTTTGTGTCTTAAGTTCCTTCACTAGGATTGCTCAAAGGTGCTCTAATGATCAGCCGAATTATAATACATGCACCAACTTTTCTCTAGTTGTTGGTTCGTATTCATAGACAATATTTTTTAAATATCCTCAGAAATAAAAATAAGCCGATCGTGTGAGCCACTGCACTGGTCCACGACGTCCAATTCAGCTTCCATTAAAGTGATTGTTTAAACAATTTACTACAATTTGTGTACAATTCCATCTAACATTTTTTGATTTGCAATATTATGATCAACATCTTATAAGATTTGTATCAGTTAATTATTTGAAAAAAAATTATTCCATCAAATAATAAAAGTTTCATAATGATTTTTTAGTGTTTTTCATTTTTTTTTATAATAAACTTCGCATATACCGATAGAAGCGCGGGCGCACGATGTGGCAGCTGTATTAAAAGTTCAAATGCTCATAACTGCTGATAAGTATATCTTTCGAAGAAAATGTGTTAGAGATAAAAGTTTGTTTGTTTTTGATGTAAAATCATAATATCCGATAAAAACTGCGAATTACCCTTTAACAAAATGGAGTTGATCCGTTTTTCACCGTTGTAGCGCTATCTTTGATGAAACGGATATTTCATCTTGTAGCCGCTCGAAGTGTAACATTTATATATATATATATATATATTTACTTATTTATATAAAAATCTTAGTGGCAATAAATTCCAATAAGATTTTTTCTTTTATATAGCGTATATTATTCTCATTCAATTCATGTTGGTTTGGGAAAACGTATTTTATATTATCATTTGTATTTGCATCTCATTACGTTTGTTACAAAGCCCATTTAATCGGAAATCGTAAATTTTTACCTTAATGAATTTAAATCTTAAAATACAGACAATACTTTATTGTTCTTTGAACCGAAAGGGTTAATGATCGTAAAAAAATTCCAAATCCGTTTTAGTTCAAAATATACAAAAAGCTAATTTATTTATACTTTATATCGAGTATAAGCAACTTATAAAATATTTATATAAATATCTAACGTTTAATTCTTAACTCTACACCCATCGATTATAATAATATTACGGAAAGGAATTTATTTAAATCATTCGCCTAAAAAAAAATAAAAATTGAAATTTTTGCCACTAGGTACCGCTCTGCGTCACGTGACGTGAGATAGACCGACAGCCATTACCATCGTTCATTTTAAAAGTACACGAAGCGATGTATGTTTTTAAGAGTGGATAAAAGCGATGTACTGTTTTAAAAGTGGATGAAGCGACGTATTGAAAGCAAATCGGGGCAGGTAAAGTTGATTCGGAGACAAGATGGCCGAACATAGTACCGAAGAAATGGAGGTGAGCTGTATAGTTAATGACTATATTTCTTACCAACTTCATATGAATGGTTATGAATGGAGGTCGCCGACGGCTACTCCGACTAAAGTGAACAGTTCACTAAGATCGTTGGGTAACGAATTTAAAACCAGATATCGAGACAGTTTTTTGGAAATGACTGATAGTCTGGACATCCAACCTTCTACTGCTCGTGCCACATTCTTAGGGGTCGCCAACGAATTATTCAGCGAGGGGGTCACTTGGGCTAGAATCGTGGCATTGTTTGTATTCGCCAGCGAAATGGCTCTCATTTGCCATAGAATGAGCCACACGGAAATCGTCAACGACGTGGCAGAATGGTTGAGCTCGTATATTAAATCCAATTTACTAACGTGGATCAGAGATCACGACGGCTGGGTAAGTGTAAAATAAAATCAACATCCATTTTTGTTTCCATTCTACATATATAGGTGCCGCCTTGCAGGAAATTTAAAACCAGCTCTTTAATGGGTATTTTAATTCGTCTAGTCGTGTTACGTCTGAGTGTTTTTGGCTAATTGTAAATAGGTTTATTTCCGATTTTCATTTTATTTGGGGGCAGAAAAGGGGCAAATTTTCTTAGAGATAAGAAATTAATTCATGATCCTATAATATTTTTTGCTTTCGATATTAATATTTCTTCCTGTTCTGTTCCCTTAAAGTCGAATACTTTCTAACATATGCCGGCCTGTCGTAATAATTATGAAATTAACTTCGATTATTTTGAAATGTCTCAAATCATTCTATAGAAAATTGCGTTTAGTACTTTTCTACTTGGAAAAAAAAAAATGGTGAAAAAAGTTAGACGAGTTGTGGCTTAATAAAATCTCGGTAGTAAAATGATATTTAGGATGTATGTGTCACATATATTTTTATAAATTTGATACAAAACGATGTTTATCTATAACGTCATAATGAAAATAAAACTTAAGGATGAATGCGGTTGCTACGAGATACGGACATTCGCATTTTCGAATTGCAGGTAGGACGGGGATGTTGATTGTGATCGTAAATTTTTCTACCTCGAAATAAAAATATTACACATGAATTACGATTATGGCGTAAAAGAATAAACGTTGTCTTGTAAATTTTTTTTTCGCGTTTTGTCTACATTATGTGATAAATGACCTTTTTACTCATCTTTTGGCGTGGGTGGTATGACTAATGAGATGTTTTAAGAGGAAAGGAGTGTTCTGTGAATGAATTGTGAAGAATGTAAATATATCAAAATCAGGAAGTAACAAACTTTTATCTTTTTTTGTTAAATTTAGATATATTTAATAATTTTTTGCAAACCTCAGTGAATTTTTTTAAAAGTGTTTTTTATTAAAAAAAATGCATTTAAAAATATACTTAAATTATTAACACTTTATTTATTTATTGGCATATATTAAGAATATATATGGTATTTGATTAGTAAATATTAGATATTAAAAGTTAAAATTAAATTAATCATTTCTTGATCGTTAAATGTTGAATTGCACATGCACTGTGGAAATTGAAGTCATACCATATGTTTTGCAGTTCAAGACAATTACCATTGCTGTCTAAAAGTGAATCACTTGTCAACAAAGTTTGTTACTTATGCATTATTTTTAAAATAAAAAGAAAGAAGAATATTAATTCTATGATATTTTAGAAAAGTGTAAATGATTTCAAATAAGCCAGTATCATTTATTATAAATTAAATTACTGTTACATTAAAAGTAATTATAATGTAAGAAGTCAATCACTTAATTACTTGTCAATATAGTTATTTTATCATAATTATAGAAATTTTAATTGATTATAAACTTTTTTTTTTTTTTTTTTTCAAAAACAATATATATTTTTGTGTAATTTTCAAATGGGTAGACTGCTACAAGTTTTTATTTGAGAAATGTGCAAGTTCATGGCAGTTGAATTCTAACATATAAATATGAATTGATCAGAAATTGCAAGATTGAAGTTTGTTTATTGTTAATATGAAAAATTTATAAATTTCTCATAAATAGAAATATCTATAATTCTACTTTTTACTGTCATAAAAATGAAAACTAGGAATAAATTACTACTTGGCTTAAATACTTTATGAAATATTTTGTTGTCATGTTTGGATAATTTATTTCATTTTATTTTTCCTTTACAATATGTCAGTTTGACACTTTATAATATGTAATATAATTCAAAGAAAAGGTTTCTGTAGTTCATCAAAAGTGCACTGATTTAGAGTTTGAATTTATTATCTGTTAATGAAGCTGATTTTACAAAAGACCAAATATATACATTTAGGCAAAGAAAACATATCATTGAAGTTTTTACAAGTCATGAATAAGTTTTTAATGAAATACATTATTGCTGTCTGTATTTGGACAAATAATTTGAAATTACTCTTTAACTCTTAAGCATTAATTCTTAGCATTAATGCTAAGAGTTAAAATCAAAATTCAAATTGCATTTGGATATAATCAATTAATATTTTATTTAAAAATTTTTTTTATTTTGAGCAGTTAAAGACACACATTAGGACTGTGAATTATTCTATTTTTATAAATTTTCAATCTTTCAATTTTTATTTAAAGACTGAAGACATTTTTTTTTTCTTCAATGTGTAAGAATTGACTTTAGTATTATTTTGGTTAATTGTAATTTCTTTTATTTAGCTGTATGATGCTAATGTATCTTGTTTTGTGTTGTTTAAATAACTTTGGAAATGAATATGAAATAAACAAAACTGTCTTTTGACCTTAAAAATTCTTTTACAGTGGTGAAATTTAACACTTTAATGCTAATTGAATTATCACTTTAGGGTTAAATCTGCTCTGTAATGTTTAAAGAGATTCATGAAAAATTACATTATTTTAGAAAGAATTAAAATTTAAGTTGCCATACAGTAAAAAATTTTTTATAAAGTGAATGAATAATTCAAATATACATACAACAGACATACCAATTTATCTTGTTTACAAGTATGAGTAATGAGTGAGTTTGTTCATGTTCAGTGTGACTTGTGCTCATCAAGAATAACTTATTTCTCAAATAAGGAAACTATTGGTAGCCAAAAACAGGTACAAATAAATAGTGCTCTGACAGATTTAATCTCCAGAACAATTATACTTGTATCAAAATATAATTACAATCACTAAAATGTAATTTATGGGAATTTTCCTTTAAATGCTTATATACAAAAGTTATTCATCATTTTTAAGAAATAAGTTTTAATTTTTTTGTAAATGAATGAAAAATTGTATTTTAAACAGAGATAATTTTTGTTTTTACAGTACTTTATTCATTTCATACAAGATAATGAAATTTTTAAAAATGAAGTTTTGAAAAGATATAAAAGCTTGTTCTGTGAGGATTTTTATAGAGGTCTTAAACAGTAAAGGTTTGTGCAAGTATTGACTTGTAAAACAGCTTAGAATTGTTTGAAATCTTCTGAAAAAGACATGAAGCATTCTTAATTACATTAAATAACATGTTCATTTGTGATTTTAATATTGCATTTACAATTTGTATGGAAAAATTTAATAATAAATTAACATTTTTGTTTTTATTCTTTCCATCATATGGGCACTAAAGCATCTTTTTAATCAAGTCTATTGTGGGTTTAGCCAGGCTCACAATGAAGTGGTTAGATGGTGAGAGATAGGGTTTGATATATATGAAATTTGTCAATTGAAATGCAGAGCTCTGAGATAAACTGTACTAAAATTTGCGTTCTTGGGTTCGAAACCAGAGGGATGACAATTTTTGTTGTCAGTAGAGAATAACAAATTATTTATATCTTCTAAAATATTATGACATTAAATCCTGTATAAATTATTTCATAATTTAATTTATTCTGAGTTATAAATGAATCAACATCAGATATCTTAAGAATCTTTATTCTTAGAATCAAGCATTTCTATCTTTTAGTAAATTTTTATTAAAGAACCTAATATGTAACATTTTTAATATTAAAAAATTGTATACTTTAGCTAATTTCATTCATAATTAATTTTTTAATTTTACTTTGATTTTTTAATAAATAATAAAATGTCTGATTATAGAAAGAACAAAGTAATTCTATTTCATTTTTATGTTAAATTTCACCATTTTAAAAAGATTTAATTAGAAATAAATTTTTCTATTTAACATTGATATCGGATTTAAGTATTAGGTAGAAATTTTGAAATATTCTTTCTGAATTTTTCAGTTTTTTTATATTGTTTTCATTACACAGAAAAATATTTTTCAACTAAAATTTTATGTTGAAGGCAAATTTTTATATCAAAAATTTTTCGTGAATACATTTATTCATTTTTATTATTAAAATCACTAGTTTACATATTATCTGCAGTTAGCCTGAAAATCAACTTCAATTTATTTACCAATTGACTCATCATTGAGTAAAATTAGTATTACTGATTTTAAACATGTCTTAACCTGTATTCTATAAATATCTTTTGTTTAGTCATTGTGGTATCTTTATATATATATATTTTTATATATTGTTGTATCAAAATATATATTATATTTTATATATTGTGGTATCTTTATATATTTTTATAAACATTATTTTTCAGAAGTTTTTGTTTTTAAAAACCCAAAATTAAATTAAAAAATAATAATAAAGACAGAATTATTACAAAAATGCTCATTTAACATTCTGATATGAAAGATCTATAAATTTTGAAAGAAATTCTATTATTAAAATTCACTTGTGTAGACAAGAAAATCTTTTTGCTTAATTATTACTATTACATTACTATATTATTCTAAGATATTTGATATTATTTCTGCTAAATGCAGTTTGAATATTATATTAGATTTTGTCATTTTAACTAACTTCAGGGTAATTTCTGTATGTATGGATGTTAGTGTGTGCTCATGGCATGATTTTGTTTATCCTGTTTGAAGCTTAATAATTCCTATGCTTTGTCAAAAATTTCTGAAATTTTGCAGGGAGGTTTGTTTATTAGGAAGATTGATGCTATTAAATTTTGGTGATTAAAGGTCAATTGGGTGGGGAGATAAAAGTGAATTGTTATACCTCAAGTGGGGTCTGACAATGATGATTTTACTCATTATTTGCATTTATAATTTTTTTTATAAAACCCATTTCTCAAAAGTAAGCTTTTTATAATGGTTACAAATGTCATGTTTTATTTAAAAAACTTTTCATAACAGATGGTTCCACCAAATGTTGCCAGGAAAGTTAAGCAAATTGTTGCTGAATTTTTTACTTTAGTTTTATATAAAACTATAATAATAATACATAGGCATATAGTTTATACTACAGTATACACTTATGCATAATTTTCACTCTTATGTTTGAGATCTATAAAAATAAGTGGTTTGTTAAAAGTTTAACCACCACAAGATCCAATAAAATTATTTCTGTGATATCAAATTTT